TAATACCATGCGGGACACATTCGTTTTTTCTTCGCGCGCGCACGCCGAAATCTCCAAAAACCATTGGGCTTCTTAAGAATTTTAGCACCGCGCATGTATCATATGCATCATATGCAACAGATGTTATGTGGAAGGCTTAACAACTTCTGTGGGTTAACAAGGCTTAACAACTTCTGTGGGTGTACGAACGTAGGCTTCACAACTTCTGTGGGTGTGTACCCCACGCCAGTGTAGTAGCCACGGTCGTCCGCACGCCACGAAGTGAAGTGTCCGAAAACGTATAATGGCGGAAGTGGGTGTGGGTGCTGGCGAAGAGTCGTGTGGAATTTGTGGAGCTTGCACTGCCCCCCACAAAGTGGGGTATTGGCTGGCGTCGCATGTAAAACCCTAGGCACTGAGTGAGAACACACTGAGCGTTCGGGTTAAAGTGATGTGTTGTTGTTGTTGTTGTTGTTGTTGAACATTATTTATTCTCTAGAGAATATTATTGTTGGGACCCCTGGTGCACGACCCCCCCGCCGCGCCTAGGCCGCAGCCACATTTTCATCATTTTCGTGAGGAAGTCTCAGGCAAAACGGGGTATACCAGATCCGGTTGTTTTGTTGACGCCCGCTTTCCCTGGCAAAAAAACACTGTAAAATGAAATCTCTTGTTCTAACATAACCAAACTTCAAGAATCCTTTGCAACAAATGACACGAAGTGCACACTCGCGCGCGCAAGATGAAATCCTTCCCAAACCTTAGTTTTCGTAGCGATTTTAACATAACAACATGAAAAACCCCAGGGTTTTTCAAAACAAAGTTTCAAAAATTCATCTTGCGCGCTCTTGCGGATTTCTGAGGAAACCCAATATTTTTTCAACATTTCTGTCAAACGGGCTCTTGCGAGCAACTTTTTCACGTTCTTCGAACTTCTGCAACAACGGTTGCGCGCATGCCAGGGCCATCATCCCTGTCAAATTATACCATATTGGACCACATTTCGTTTTTTCTTCGCGCGCGCACGCCGTCGTCGCGGGACGGGGCCCTGAATAGTAGCCACGGTAGTCCGCATGCCACGAGTTGAAGTGTCCGAACGTCATAGGGCCGGGAAGCTGGGTATCGTGGGTGGGGCGGAAGAGTCGTTTTTTTTTTTTAATGGAAAATTGGTAGAGCTTGAAACCGGCCCCCCCCACAAGTGGGGGTTATTGCCCGCCTCCTATGAAAAACCCTTAGGCATGGTGAGAACGGAGTGTCCCACAGTCTAAATGATTGTTGTTGTTGTGTGTTGTTGAAAATTATTAATTTCTAAAGAATAATTATTGTTGGGCCCCTGGTGCGCGGCCCCCCCGCCGCGCCTAGGCCGCAGCCACGTTTTTATCATTTTCGTGAGGAAGCCTCAGGCAAAACGATGTGGTCCAGATCCGGTTGTTTTGTTGTCCCCCGTTTTCCCTTGCAACAAACACTATAAAATGACATTTCTTGTTCTAACATAACCAAACTTCAGGAATCCATTGCAAAAAATGACACAACGTGCACATTCGCGCGCGCAAGACGAAATCTTTCCAAAACCTTAGTTTTCGTAGCGATTTTAACATAAAAACATCAAAAACCAAATGTTTTTTCCAAAAAAAAAAAAGTTGTCAACATTTCAAATTCTTTCCCGCGCGCTCTTGCAGGATTTGTAGGAAACCAACACTTTTTAAACATTTCTGTCAAACGGGCTTTATGCGAGCAAACTTTTTCAGGTGCTTCGAACTTCTCCAACAACGTTTGCGCACCTGCCAGGGCCATCATCCCTGTCAATAATACCATGCGGACACATTCGTTTTTTCTGTGCGCGGGGCACGCCGACGAATTCTCAAAAAACCATTGGGTTTCGTAAGAATTTAGCACCGCGCACATAAAATTCATACGAATCGCACCGTAGGTCTTTTCGAAAAAAACCCGTATACTTTCAGCGCCAGTGTAGTAGCCACGGTCGTCCGCAGGCCACGAAGTGAAGTGTCCGAACGTCATAGGGCGGAAAGCTGGGTGTGGGTGGTGGCGAAGAGTCGTTTGGGGAAATGTGTAGAGCTTGGAACACCGGCCCCCCCACAAGGGGGTATTGGCGGGGTCCGTATGAAAACCCTGGCACTGGTGAGAACGGACGTGTACCACGTGCTAGTAATTGTTGTTGTTGTTGTTGAACATTATTAATTCTAAAGAATAATTATTGTTGGGACCCTGGTGCACGGCCCCCCTGCGCCGCCTAGGCCGCAGCTACATTTTCATCATTTTCGTGAGGAAGCCTCAGGTAATACGATGTCATCAAGATCCGGTTGTTTTGTTGTAATCCGTTTTCCCTTGCAAAAAACATTATAAAATGACATTTCTTGTTCTAATATAATCAAATTTCAAGAATCCCTTGCAAAAAATAAGGTAAAGTGGACATTCGCGCGCGCAAGACGAAATCCTTCAAAAAGCTTAGTGTTCGGAGCGATTTTAACATAAAAACATCAAAAAACCAATGGTTTTTCAACAAAAAAAATGTCAAAATCTCATCCCGCGCGCTCTTGCGGATTCGTAGGAAACCCAACACTTTAAACATTTCTGTCAAACGGGCTTTTGCGAGCAACTTTTTCGAACTTCTGCGACAACGGTTGCGCACCTGCCAGGGCCATCATCCCTGTCAAATAATACCATGCGGGACACAGTCGTTTTTTCTTCGCGCGCGCACGCCGTCGTCGTCGGCCGCGGGGCCCTGAATAGTAGCCACGGTCGTCCGCATGCCACGAAGTGAAGTGTCCGAACGTCATAGGGCGGGAAGCTGAGTGTGGGTGGTGGCGAAGAGTCGTTTGGAAATTTGGTAGAGCTTGAACCGGCCCCCCACAAAGTGGGGGTATTGCCCGCCTCCTATGAAAACCCTGGCACTGGTGAGAACGGAGTGTCCCCAGTCTTAAATGATTGTTGTTGTTGTTGTTGTTGTTGTTGAACATTATTAATTCTAAAGAATAATTATTGTTGGGCCCCCTGGTGCGCGGCCCCCCCGCCGCGCCTAGGCCGCAGCCTCATTTTCATCATTTTCGTGAGGAAGTCTCAAGCAAAACGGTGTGTGCCAGATCCGGTTGTTTTGTTGTCCTCCGTTTTCCCTTGCAAAAAAGCTAAAGTGGACATTTCTTGTTCTAGCATAACCAAACTTCAAGAATCCCTTGCAAAAAAATAAGGTAAAGTGGACATTCGCGCGCGCAAGACGAAATCCTTCCAAAACCTTAGTGTTCGTAGCGATTTTAACATACAAACATCAAAAAGCCAATGGTTTTTTTTTTTTTTTTTTTTTTTTTTTTTTTTTTTTTTTTTTTTTTTTTTTTTTTTTTTTAAAAAAAAAGTGTCAAAATTTCTTCCCGCGCGCTCTTGCGGATTTGTAGGAAACCCAACACTTTTTTAAACATTTCTGTCAAACGGGCTTTTGCGAGCAACTTTTTCACGTGCTTCGAACTTCTCCAACAACGGTTGCGCACCTGCCAGGGCCATCATCCCTGTCAAATAATACCATGCGGGACACGTTCGTTTTTTCTTTGCGCGGGCACGCCGAAATCTTCAAAAACCATTGGGTTTCGTAAGAAGTTTAGCACCGCGCAACATAAAATCATACGAATCGCACCGTAGGTCTTCGAAAAACACAGTATACCTTTCATGCGCCAGTGTAGTAGCCACGGTCGTCCGCAGGCCACGAAGTGAAGTGTCCGAACGTCATAGGGCGGGAAGCTGGGTGTGGGTGGTGGCGAAGAATCGTTTGGAAATGTGGTAGAGCTTGAACCGGCCCCCCCACAAAGTGGGGGTATTGGCGGGCGTCGTATGAAAACCCTGGCACTGGTGAGAACGGAGTGTCCCCACGTGCTAGTAATTGTTGTTGAACATTATTTATTCTAAAGAATTATTATTGTTGGGACCCCTGGTGCGCGACCCCCTCGCCGCGCCTAGGCCGCAGCTACATTTTCATCATTTTCGTGAGGAAGCCTCAGGTAATACGATGTCATCAAGATCCGGTTGTTTTGTTCCCACCCGCTGTCCCTTGCAAAAAACACTATAAAATGAAATTTCTTGTTCTAAAATAACCAAACTTCAAGAATCCCTTGCAAAAAATAAGGTAAAGTGGACATTCGCGCGCGCAAGACGAAATCCTTACAAAACCTTAGTGTTCGCAGCGATTTTAACATAAAAACATCAAAAAACCAATGGTTTTTCAACAAAAAATTGTCAACATCTCATCCCGCGCGCTCTTGCGGATTCGTAGGAAACCCAACACTTTTTAAACATTTCTGTCAAACGGGCTTTTGCGAGCAACTTTTCGAACTTCTGCAACAACGGTTGCGCACCTGCCAGGGCCATCATCCCTGTCAAATAATACCATGCGGGACACATTCGTTTTTTCTTCGCGCGCGCACGCCGTCGTCGTCGGCCGCGGGGCCCTAATAGTAGCCACGGTCGTCCGCATGCCACGAAGTGAAGTGTCCGAACGTCATAGGGCGGGAAGCTGGGTGTGGGTGGTGGCGAAGAGTATCGTTGTGGAGGAAGGGAAAATTGGGGAGTGCGGGAGGGGGAAGGAATGGAAGGAACGGAATTTGGGGGCGGAAGGCGTGAGTCGAAGGGAAATTTGGTAGAGCTTGAGAACGGCCCCCCCACACAAAGGGGGGTTATTGCCCGCCTCCTATGAAAACCCTGGCACGGGTGAGGAAACGGAGTGTCCCCACGTGCTAGTAATTGTTGTTGTTTTGTTGTTGTTTGTTGTTGTTGCCTGACTGCTATGCTGTTGTTTTTATTTGCTGTTTTGTTTTTTTGCCTGTTGCGTGTTTCTTTGTGCTGAGTTTAGTATTGCTTGTTGATTCTTATGCTGTTGTGCCTGATGCAGCTCTGTTGGCGTCACTGGTGTCTTCTGCTTTTTTTGCTGTTATTTGTTTGTTTTTTGTTTTGCTTTGTTTATTTTGTCTTTGTTTTTGCTTATTCTTTGTGTGCATGTTTTTGTGCTGTTGTTGTTGTTGTTGTCGTTGTTGCTGTTGTTGTTGTGGTTGTTGTTGTTGCTGGTGCTGCTGCTGCTGCTGCTGCTCGAACACCTTCTGTTTCTTAGAACATGTCGTGGGTAGGCCTATCGGAATGCCGGGACGGTCGGTCTCTGCTCAAGGAGATTGAGCTGCAGGGCCTGGCCAGGAGATGCCAGGAGTTGGAGGCCGTCGTCACGCAGGTGAAGTCAGAGGAGGGTAAGGTATACCCATACCGTTACCCTCCCCTCGTTTTCCGCTGTCTGGGCCTCCTGGGAGGCCCTCGTCGCCACGGCTGGATTCGTTTCGAGATCTTGGTGAGAACCCACCCTGGGGGCGGTCCAGGGGGTAATCGGTAACGGTACCTTTTGGTTTCCCCAGTTGAAGAGCGCCCAGCAAGATCTCTTGGCGCAGATCGGGCGCATGCAGAGCGCGCAGGTCAGCTTCGAGCGGAGAGGTGTCGAGCTTGGGGCCGCCAAGTCCAGGATCGCCGAGCTGGAAAGCTCGTTGAGGGACAGCGCCACGGTCGCGGAGCGGAGGAGGCTCGAGCTGGAGGCCTCCCAGCTGGCGAGGCAGCAGGGCGAGGCCCTTCTGCAGGAAGCCACCTGCTCCCTGCGGTCGCGGGAGGAGGAGCTGCAGGCCGCTCAGCAAGAGCGCACCCTCGCGACGCAGGCGCTGGCGGCGTCGCAGCGACGGGAGCAAGACAGCCGCCGACAGCTGGCCCAGCTGCAGCAGCAGGTAGAGGCCTGCAGCCGCAGCAGCGCCGAGATCGAGGGCGTTCTGCGGGCGGCGCAGGCGCGAGAGGCCCGCCTGGCGCAGCTCGAAGGTGCAATCTCTGCCGCTGCCGCGGGCCCTCCGGGCCCGAGCCTGGCGGAGGCCCCACGGACCCCGCGGCTGCCACAAGACAAGTCCACCCCGCACCTGCTGGAGTGCGGCGGCCCCTCGGAGCAGGCTCCAGAGCCAGGCGAGGCGGCCAGGCGATCATGCGACGAGGCACGCCAGGAGTTGTCTTCATGCTCCCTGCGGCTCGGCGGCGCCAGCACCGCCCCCTGGTCTCCCGCGCCCTCGGCGCGGCCGCTGCACTCCGGGCTGTCGTCGCCGGAGAGCTCTCCGCTGCAGCCGCGACTGCCCTCCAGCTGCTTCGTCGGGCGCGCCGAGGGCGGCGGTGCCTCCGTTGCGGCGGCGGCGCCGCCGTCGACAGCTCCTCGGCTGGCGGAGCCGCGCAGGCCATCTGCCATGCAGACCCGCTCGGTGCCGCAGCTTCCTGCGCAACCTCGCCCTCGCTCTCGCCGGTCCCCTCGCGCGGACAAGGACCCCTGCCTCGGCCTCGGCATCGGCGGGGTCGTGGCGAGCGTTGGCTGGCCCTGATATCCTGGCGTCGCAGTTGCTCCGAGTCGGGCGTTTTCGCTTCATGTCTGGCCCCAGGACCCTCACAGATCGATCCGGCTTGCAAAATGCTGCAGACTGATGGGGTCTAGAGCTCCGATCGTGATTTCTCGCGATGCTGTTTTTGTCTGCTGCGTCGGACCTCAAGGTCGGGTTGGCCAGGGTCAGCGCCAGCGGGAGACCCCGGCCCAGGAGCCACGCGTGGCCGCACCCTCCCCTCCTCCCCCCTCGCGACGGAGGCCACGACCAGGAGGTGGAGACGACGATGACGACGCAGAGTCACGGCGACGACTTCGACGAAGACGACGGCGGCGGAGGCGACAGCGAATGCCACGCTTGGGATCTGCCTCGTGGCCGGCTGGGGTTCGCGACGCGGCCTCGGCCGGCACGGGCCATCGCTGGCCCCGGCCAGCGCATCCCCAGAAGGGGAGGAGAGAGCAGTGACACCAGGACCACCAGGGGCGGCACCTCCAGTGAGGAGGTCCCTGAGGCCTCCCCGAGCTGGGGACAGGCGATGCCTCGGGGAGGGGGCCGGGGGAGCCACACCACCAGGAGGCCCCCCCCCCTGGCCGCTCGCGATGGTGGTGGTGGTGGTGGTGGTGGTGGTGGTGGTGGTGGTGGTGGTGGTGGTGGTGGTGTCGCTGTTCCTTGTTCCTCGGTGGGTGGTTGGGGTGGTTCGGGGGCCTCATGGGGGGGGAGGTTCGGGTTTCTTCCTCCAGCCCCCCCCACCCCCCTCAGGGGAGGGCTCCTGGTCGGCTCGCCGGGGCTTCCTTTCCGGAGCCCTCCCAGATCTCCCCCCCCCTGAGAGGGGGGTGCTGGGAGAGGGTGCCCCCAGGACCGTTCTGAGGGCGGGGTGGGCGGGCTGTGAGTGCTGTCTTGTCCCCTCTCTCCCTGCTCCAGCCGAAGGACCATCGAGGCACCAGCCCCGGCCTCGGCGGGGGCTCGTGGGAGGCCGAGGGGCTCCAGTCCCTCCTCGCGGGCGCGGCGCTCGCGCTGCGGCGCGCCTCGCCGAGCGGCCCGCGCGCCGCGCGGCAGACGGTGCACTGAGCGCGCGCGCGCGAGCGCGCGCTCCGCGGCCGGGGTGTCCCTCCAGATCTCCCAGGAGGAGGAGGAGGAGGAGGAGGAGGAGGAGGAGGAGGAGGAGGAGGAGGAGGAGGAGGAGGAGGAGGAGGAGGAGTTTTGAAGCCGTTGTTTGTTCCTCGTTCTCGGCCCGTGGCTGGGCCCGGGGGCCATCAGGACTTGCTCCGGGGAGAAGAAGAGAAGAAAAAAGGGGGAGATTGGAACGGGCCCCCTGGGGCCGCGGAAGCCAGACCACCTCGCGTAGCGAAGCAATCTCACGACGGACATTTTTTGTTGTTTGTTTGTGCTTACACACATACATATATATATATATATACATATACATATATATATATATATATATATATATATATATATATAATATGTACACACAAATTATACATAACAAAACGACGTTCTGGCTCCGGGCGCCGTTTCTGGGCCCTGGGGCTGTTCGAAAGCGGCCCAGGATGAAGAGCCGGTCCCGGGGAGCGAGTTGAGACCTCGAGGGGGGTGGGCGCGGGGAAAAGAAACATGACGTCGGGGATCTGGGCCCATCACCGCCGCACGGGGGATCGAGCTTCGGGAGCCTCGGCGGGCGGTGCGCGAGTCCAGGTGTATTCACATCCGCCGTCCGCTCGGGTCCCAGGTCGTTGTTTCCTCGGGCGGTGGATGTGAGTAAGATCCCCACCTGGCACGCTCGCCGTCGCGCATGCCGTTTGCAGCACAGCTTCGGCATCCGAAGAGGAATCACAACCGCATGCACATTGTCTGGATGGGGGTATTTATCAGGGGTGAGTGGGTGATTGACCTTCCGATAGAGCTGGCCCAGCCCCCCCGTCCCTCCTCCCCACCCCTCCTCCTTGTCCTCCCCACGCCATCCAGGGCAAGCTTTCGGAGGTCCGCGCAGGTTCCCTGGATCTGTGCTGGACCCCCCTCGCGGCGCCTCTGGCGCAGCCGCGTGCCAAGGACGGGGAGCCCAGCGCCGATCCGAGACACCCGCGCGGACCTCCGAACGCTTGTTGATTCGCCGTTGTCTCTTCTTTTTCTTCTTCTTCTTCTTCTTTTCATCATTATTATTACAACCATACTGTGGTGTTAGGTCCTCGTTTTGAAGAGACAGCGCCCCGCGTCTCCTCCTTCCTCTCCCTTCTCCTCCCTCCCCCTCCTCCTATCCCTTGCCTCTGCCCTCCGCATGTCCTCATGATCGTCGTCATCATCATCATCATCATCATCATCATCATCATCATCATCAGCATCATCATCATCATCATCATCATCATCATCACCAGCATCAGCATCAGCATCATCATCAACATCATCATCACCACCATCATCATCATCAGCAGTAGCATCATCATCAGCATCATCACCATCATCATCATCATCATCATCATCATCATCATCATCATCGTCGACATCGTCATCGACATCATCGTCGTCGTCGTCATCATCATCAGCATCATCATCACCATCATCATCATCCGCATCAGCATCAGCATCATCACCATCATCATCATCATGATCATCATCATCATCATCATCATCATCATCATCATCATCATCATCATCATCATCGAGTCGAATCGAATAGCTTCACAGGAGGCGGTCTTCTAGAAAGGGACTCTTGACACACCAGGGCCTCGGAGCATTGCTTTTCGCGAGCGGACGGAACAACCATTGGTTTTCCGAGGCCTGGCCACTCGGGTCCAGGCCCGCGCTGCCTCCATGCAGGGCGGCCCACCCGCAGCGGCGCGCAGCCAGGTGGGTGCCCCACTTCGGAGGACCGCCCTCCGAACTCTCGGCTCAGCTCGCCCCGCAGCAGCCTTGGGCAGGCACTGATCGTCGGGTCCCGGGCGGCATCCAGCCAGCAGCCCCCGCCCACGGCCATTGCGGGGTGAGCCCAAGCCACTCCTACCCTGGCTGGCCCTCGCCTTGTCCTTTCCCCGCCCTAACACGATCACGACTCCCCCGTACTACGGCCCCGATCTCCTCCTCTTCTTGGCAGCACTGCCACAGGAATCTGCGGAAGCAGGGGCGATAAATAAGCCTGAAAAGATCGGCCCGCTCCGTTTCCTGTCGCAGCCTCGGGCTGCTCTCAAGTCCGTTCAGGCCCCCTTTGCCTTGCCTGTCACCGCCGCCAGGCACCTCGATGTCTCTCGATCGAGTGGCCCCCGCGGAGCCGCGCCCGTGAGCACCTTGTCCGCCTCCAGCTCCTTGATGTACGTCCACAAGGTGGGCCCCACCACTGAGCCCGCTCCCTGCCTCGCGAAGGCCATCGACAGCACGCCGTACTTCTCCTCTTTGTCGTCGCCTGCCCTGCTCTTGCGGTAGCGGAACTGGAAGCAATCGTACTCAGCTGCTTGGGGGACATCACCATCACGCGTTCCTTCCAGTACTGCATGAGAATCTTGTGCACCGTCGGGTTCTGGGTCGCCGCGTCGCCCTGCGGTCCCGTCCTCTTCACTGCCCAGGGCACCGCTTTGCAGACGAGGCGAATGTGAGGGCTACCCCGCGTCTTGAAGTCCACTGTCTCGCCCTAGGCCTGCCTGGCCTTCATCTCTTTGCTCTCTGCGTCGTACTCTTGCCCTCCTAGCACCAGCTCCTCGCCCAGCATGCCCTCGGCCTCGCTGACTGCCGCGATGTCGTAGCAGCACGCCTCCAGCGCCGCCACCTGCCTCGTTGTCGCCATGGAGAGCTTCGCCGTCGCCTTGCACTGGTCGGCTATGCCTCCCGCACCCTTGCCGCCGCCACCATGGTTCCCGCCGTCGCCTTCGCCTTTGCCCTTCGGCTTCTTCTCATTGGGTGGTTGTGCCCCCTCCGATCCAGGGAGTCCCGTCGGGTCCGCACCTCGCTTTAGCCAGCCTGGCATCCCGATGTCGTCTACCATCGCTACGCCGTATCACCATCATCACCATCACCATCACCATCACCATCATCATCATCATCATCATCATCATCATCATCATCATCATCATCATCATCATCATCATCACCATCATCATCATCATCATCATCGTCGTCATCGTCAGCATCATCATCATCATCATCATCGACATCGTCATCGACATGGTCATGGTCATCGTCATCGTCATCGCCGTCATCATCACCATCATCGTCACACCCAGTACAGCGCTTCGTGGCCCCATAGGGAGCTCCACCGAGGGTATCAGTGGCGCAGCTCGCGTGCGCCTCCCCCGCACAGTACAGCGCTTCGTGGCCCCATAGGGGGCTCCACCGATTGAGAGCTCCACCGAAGGTCCCAGTGGCGCAGTTCGCGTGCGTGTCCCCCACCCAGTACAGCGTTCCATGGCCCCATATGGAGCGCCACCGAAGGTCCCATTGGCGCAGTTCGCATGCGTCTCCCCCGCCCAGTACATCGTTTCGTGGCCCCGTAGGGAGCTCCACCGGAGGTTCCAGTGGCGCAGCTCGCATGCGTCTCCCCCGCCCAGTACACCGCTTTGTGGCCCCATAGGGAGCTCCACCGAAGGTCCCAGTGGCGCAGTTCGCATGCGTTTCCCCCACCTAGAACAGCGCTTCGTGGGCCCATAGGGAGTTCCACCCATAGGGGGCTCCACCGAAGGTCCCAGTGGCGCAGTTCGCATGCGTTTCCCCCACCGAGTACAGCGTTCCGTGGCCCTATAGGGAGTTCCACCGAGAATGTGCCGGTGGCGCAGTTCGCATGCGTGTCCCCCATTCAGTGTAGCGTTTCGTGGCCCCATAGGGAGCTCCACCGGAGGTCCTTGTGGCGCAGTTCGCATGCATCTCCACCGTTCAGTACAGCGCTTCGTGGCTCCATAGGGAGATCCACCGAAGGTCACCGTGGCGCAGTTCGCATTCGTCTCCCCCGCCCAGTACAGCGTTTCGTGGCCCCATAAAGAGTTCGACCGCAGGTCCCGGTGGCGCAGTTCGCATGCGTCCCCCCCGCCCAGCACATCGTTTCGTGGCCCCATAGGGAGCTCCACCGAAGGTCCCAGTGGCGCAGCTTGCAGGCGTCTCCCCCGCCCAGTACACCGCTTCGTGGCTCCATAGGGAGCTCCACCGAAGGTCCTAGTGGCGCAGTTCGCATGCGTCCCCCCCGCCCAGTACAGTGTTTCTGGCCCCATAGGGAGTTCGACCGAAGGTCCCAGTGGCGCAGTTCGCATGCGTCTCCCCCACACAATAAAGCGCTTCGTGGCCCCGTAGGGGGCTCCACCGAAGGTCCACGTGGCGCAGTTCGCACGCGTCTCCTTCGTTCAGTACAGCGCTTTGTGGCCCCATAGGGAGCTCCACCGAAGGTCCCCGTGGCGCAGCTCGCTAGATATCCCCGCCCAAAACAATGTTTCGTGGCCCCATACGGAGCTCCACAGATAGGCGGCTCCACGGAAGGTCCCGGTGGCGCAGTTCGCATGCGTCTTCCCTATCCAGCCCAGCGCTTCGCCGTCCCATAGAGAGCTCCCCCGAAGGTCCCCGTGGCGCAGTTCGCATGCGTTTCCTCCACCCAGCACAGCGCTTCGTGGCCCCATAGGGAGCTCTACCGATAGGGAGCTCCACCGAAGGTCCCAGTGGCGCAGTTCGCGTGCGTCCCCCCACCCAGGACAGCGTTCCGTGGCCCCATAGGGAGCTCCACCGAAGGTCCCAGTGGCGCAGTTCGCATGCGTCCCCCCACCCAGCACATCGTTTCGTGGCCCCATAGGGAGCTCCACCGAAGGTCCCAGTGGCGCAGTTCGCACGCGTGTCCCCCGCCCAATGAAGCGCTTCGTGGCCCCATGAAGAGCTCCAACTAAGGGTCGCAATGGCGCAGTTCGCGGGCGTTTCCCCCACCCAGAACAACGCTTCGTGGCCCCATAGGGAGCTCCACCGAAGGTCCCCG